TTGCTTTGTTTGGTACCAGGCATTACTCCTTTCTTTCTAAAGCTGCCGCTTTGTCACCTGTGACACTGTATTCTCTTGATTCTCCTGATATTTCTCTGATGGCTCCTTTATTTTCGTGAGTTCCTTTTCCTCTGCTCAGTACAGTAGACCCATGAATGTGGGTTTGAACTGCGTGGGTCCACCTATATATGGATTTTTTTTTCAATAAATACATACTATATAGTCTGCAGTTGGTTGAATCTGCAGATGGGAGAGCCTGGACACAGAGGGCTGGCTGTGAATTTATACTTGGATTTCTGACTGTATGAGGCCCGACGCCCCTAACCCGTGTACGTGGTGATTCTTGACTAAGCTAGTCTAAGCTAGTCCACCTGTCTTTTCACACTTTATCTCACCTCCTCTGGTCATTTCAAACATCATATTTGCTAATGACTAATTGTTTTAATCAGCCCTCAAAGGACAATAGAAATGTTTTAAGTACAAGGGCTGTCTCTTATATAGAATCTGAAGTAATTTTAAGCCTTCTAGGGGAAGACAAGCTAGGAAGCTACCAGCCTCCATTAGTAGACAACCAACCTAAAAAACTGGAAAGTCGTCTTGACTCCCTCCCACATTTGTCATATTCTTTCAGTTTCAAATCCTGAATTCTCATATCCATTTCCTCCCCTCCAGCGTCCATGCCACCCCCCTATTTCATGCTTTCGTCATCTCTTGTGTGAACTGATTCAGATAGCTTGCTTCTGCATGCACTTTGCTGTTCAGTTACATCCTTTAGAAAATCACCATGATGTGTTGAAAAATGCAGGTCTCATCACACAATTCTCTTGCTTAAAACCCGTAAGTGGTTTTCCTGTATCTCTAGAGTGAAGACAAGAACCTCCTTAACAAAGGATAGAGCCATCTCTTCTGTCTTCCCTTAACCTTTTACTGCCATGGCTGCTGTTTACTCATCTGGTTTTTTTCTGTAATGTAATTGTCCACACTGCTTCATTGTCTTTCAATAACCTTTTCTTTGTTCCTAACTTGTATGAATTAATATCCCTTTTATTGCAGTTTTGTATAAGCAGATGATTACAATGAGACTTCCTCTCTAGACTGAACTCCTTGAGATCAGGGCGTGTGTTTTTCTTCCAGCACCTCTGATCCTCTGTGTTTGTTGAATGAGTCTTGTACAAACTCATTCCTCATCATGGTTCTTCAACTCTTATGTCTCCCAACTCCCACCCCACTTCTGTTGAATCTAATTCCTCAGCTGCAGGTTCTACTAAGGGAGTTTCCAGGTACCTAGATTCTGCAGGTTGGGAGAGACATCTTCTCTTTTAAAATGATGTAGCACCATTTTTAGTGTACAGAGAAATCCAAACAGTGTTAATATTTTGCACATAAGACTATGTTGAATATGTTGCAGGAAGAGGGACCCCTTCCAGGGTCCAAGAGTGTATGTTCTTGTCTAACACTGGAAATGAATTGTCTGAGGAGACACACGTGGTGACAAAGCAAGAGACTTCATTGGGAAAGGGCGCCTTCGCAGAGACCAGCAGGGTCCAAGAACCCAAGAAAATTGCTTTGCCACCTGGCTGTCAGTCTTGGGTTGTAATGGTGATGGGGTTTGTTTTCGGGTCATCTCTGGCCAGTCATTCTGGTCAGGGGTCCTTCCTGGTGGTGCATGCATTGCTCAGCCACGGTGGATTCTAGCGAGAAGGACTCGCAGGCTGGTAGGTCACGGGCTGGTGTCTCCGCTCTTCTTGGCTTCGTGCAAATTCTTTTGACTGGTGATAGCTTGTTTGCATTCCTTACCAGGACCTCTTTGTTAAGACAACTTACGCAAGTGACTGCTATCACCCTGGCCAGGGTGGCTGGTGTCAGTGTTTCCTCTAACAAATATATTTTTAAAACTTAAGTATGATATTGGATATGTATTGATTAAACTTTTTCTGATACACAAACTAGTCAGTGGAGACCGAGTTAATGTTACAGGTCATTTCCTTTTCTATCAATTTAATATTGCCTTTAGAAATACAAAATCCAACAACTGAAGTAATTTTTTTAATATAATTTTATTTACTTATTTTTGGCTGTGCAGAGACTTAGTTGCTGTGCAGGCTTTTCTCTAATTGCTGTGAATGGGGGCTACTCTCTAACAGCAGTTGACAGGTTTTTCATTGCAGTACCTTTTCTTGCTGTGGAGCATGGGCTTTAGGGCATGCAGGCTTCAGCAGTTGTGGCTCCTGGGCTCCAGAGAACACACTCAGTATTTGAGGCACATGGGCTTAGCTGCTTCGCAGCATGTGGGATCTTCATAGATCAGGGATCAAACTGTCTCCTCCTGCACTGGCAGGCGATTCTTTACCACTGTGCCACCAGGGAGCCCTGATTTAATCCTTAAGGCACCTCTAAGCAGCAGTGTGCTATGCTGCTGGCAGAAGCGAAAGGCAGAGGAGAGAAGGGAAGATGTACTCATCTGAGTGCAGAGCTCCAGAGAATAACAAGGAGAGAGAAGAAAGCCTTCATCAGTGATCAGTGCAAAGAAATAGAGGAAACCAATAGGATGGGAAAGACTAGAGATTTCTTCAAGAAAATTAGAGATAGCAAGGAAGAAATTCCATGCAAAGATGGACACAATAAAGGACAGAAACTGGACATAACAGAAGCAGAAGATAGTAGAAGACGTGGCAAGAATACACAGAAGAACCGTACAAAAAAGATCTTAATGACCCAGATAACCATGATGGTGTGATCACTCACCTAGAGCCAGACATCCTGGAGTGCGAAGTCAAGTGGGCCTGAGGAAGCAGCATTACGAACAAAACTAGTGGGGTGATGGAATTCCAACTGATTTTTTTCAAACCCTAAAAGATGATGCTGTGAAAGTGCTGCATTCAATATGCCAGCAAACTTGGAAAATTCAGCAGTAGCCACAGGACTGGAAAAGGTCAGTTTTCATTCCAATCCTAAAGAAAGGCAATGCCAAAGAATGTTCAAACTACTGCACAATTGCACTCATCTCACACGCTAGCGAAATAATGCTCAAAATGCTCCAAGCAAGGCTTCAACAGTACGTGAACCGAGAACTTCATATGTTCAAGCTGGTTTTAGAAAAGGCAGAGAAACCAGAAATCAAATTGCCAACATCCATTGGATCATTGAAAAAGCAAGAGAGTTCCAGGAAAACATCTACTTCTGCTTTATTGACCACGCCAAAGCCTTGACTGTGTGGATCACAACAAACTGTGGAAAATTCTGAAAAAGATGGGAGTACCAGACCACCTTACCTGCCTCCTGAGAAATCTGTATGCAGGTCAGGAAGCAACAGTTAGAACCGGACATGGAACAGCAGACTGGTTCCAAATTGGGAAAGGAGTACATCAGGGCTGTATATTGTCAACCTACTCGTTTAACTTATATGCAGAGTACATCATGCGAAATGCTGAACTGGATGAAGCACAAGCTGGAATCAGGATTTCCGGGAGAAATATCAATAACCTCAGATACACAGATGACTACCCTTATGGCAGAAAGTGTAGAGGCATGAAAGATCCTCTTGATGAAAGTGAAGGAGGAGAGTGAAAAAGCTGGCTTGAAACCCAACATTCAGAAAGCTAAGATCATGGCATCCAGTCCCATCGCTTCATGGCAAATGGATAGGGAAACAATGGAAACAGTGACAGACTTTATTTTCCTGTGCTCCAGAATCACTGCAGATGGTGACTGCAGCCATGAACTTAAAAGACACTTGCTCCTTGGGAGAAAAGTTCTGACCACCTAGACAGCATATTAAAAAGCAGAGATATTACTTTGCCAGCAAAGGTCCATCTAGTCAGAGCTCTGGTTTTTCCAGTAGGCATGTATGGATGTGAGAGTTGGGCCATAAAGAAAGCTGAGCACTGAAGAATTGATGCTTTTGAACTGTGGTGTTGGAGAAGAGTCCCTTGGACTGCAAGGAGATCAACCAGTCAATCCTAAAGGAGATCAGTCCTGAATATTCATTGGAAGGACTGATGCTAAAGCTGAAGCTCCAATACTTTGGGCATCTGATGTGAAGAACTGACCCATTGGAAAAGACCCTGATGCTGGGAAATTTTGAAGGCAGGAAAAGAAGGGGACGACAGAGGATGAGATGGTTGGGTGGCATCACGAACTTGATGGACATAAGTTTGAGCAAGCTCCAGGAGTTTGTGACGGACAGGGAAGCCTGGCGTGCTGCAGCCCATGGGGTCGAAGAGTTGGACTTGACTGAGCAACTGAACTGAAGTGTAAAGTTGATTTTGTATTGTCTTTCTTATGTGTATCAAACCCCAGGTCTCTCACATATTGCTCAGAACTTTTCTGCTTTTGAACCATGTTGGTATCTGTTAGGATTCTTGTAACATGATTCATTTATGTTTTGGAATCAGTGCAGTAGTGTCATAACTGCCCTTAGTTTTGCCCCCTTTTAATCTATCTGTTATACCTTGGCCAGGATGGTATTCTCTTAAAACTTTCATCTGACCACGAGCCTTACTTAACATCTCTTAGTGGCTCCCCATTGCCTTCAGAATGGAACAGCCTCCTTGGCCTGGAAGGTAGCCCTGTGTGCCTCTAGCCCGTCTCAGTTCTCTGAGCGCGCAGCCGTGCTTTGGGTGTACTGGACGGTAGGGTCCTGTGATGTCTGCTGCTCTCCGGCAGTACCACCACTGCACGAGAAGCTTCCTTGACCTGTGCGGTCCTCCTGCCCACTGCTGCTCCTCACCTACCTCCTTTCCATCCTTTCAGCCTCCCTCCTGGCATTCTGACATTCCCACCCTGGGCTTCTGGTCCCACTGCACGTGGTGTTTATATATAATGTACTTATTTGTTTCTTTGTATGCCTCCATCATCTTGAGGACAGGGACAGTGAGCATCCAGATGTTTGGCAGAGCACCTATTGCATGTATGTTCTCCATAGATACTTGTCGACTGTTGTCATTACTGTTGGTAATTTTGGAGCATACTGTTAACTTTTAAAACTTTTGTTTTTGTAGCCTCAAGGAATAGGTTCTCCTAGTGTTTATCATGCAGTTATCGTCATCTTTTTGGAGTTTTTCGCTTGGGGATTATTGACAGCACCCACCTTGGTGGTAAGTAATCTTTTAACTTATTTTTCACTGACTTTAAAATCTTTTTCTTCAATTTGGGGGGCGGGGAATGGCTCTTCTACCTTTCCGAGGTTCATTCTCCCACCAGTGTCGTCAGCCCTCAGTGTACTGTGTTTTACTGCGTTAGTTGTCTTTTACAGCTCTCGCTTCTCCGTTACTTTTTGGCAGGGCTTAGGTGGGTGTGATTCTTCTGATGAATACTGGACAAATGTAAGCGGGGGCTCAGTTTCCACTCTGGGTAGAATGGAAAGGATTCTTATACAGGCTTAGGAAAAATGATGTCTATCCCTGAATCACTCAGCATTATCATTTTGAGATTTGTTTTTCTAGTTGCATTTTCCCGATATAAGTTTCTTTTAGTTTAGGCCAAGTATCTAGAGGTAACCATTTAGGGAGGTCATTCTTTCTATAGCCCTAAGCTGATTTTGCTCAAATATTCCCCGGTTTAGACTCTTAGAAAAGACCTCTCTGTAAGACTGAATATGTTAGGTAATAGCTAGTTTTCTCCTATCAGTATAGAGGAGAGGAACGGGATGAAACAAGTAGTTACAGTAGACCTCTGTAACATCTTGAAAAGTGTAATCATAACTTGCCAAATCCCAGAAGAACAGATTTTTAAGATACTTTAAAGAGATACTTTCTTATATTTTCATGAGCTTGTTTGTTGATATCCAAAAAAGATTTTAATAAAAAGTTTATTATAAATAAATTGAATGATCATATATAGTTTAAACTAGTCTAAGAAAATTTATGTTCCATATTTCTTGACATATTTATTGTATGGTTACATAATCATTACTGTATCTACATAAAACACTGATGTCTAACAGTTATTTTGAACATACAAAACATATTTACAAATACTGCTAAAACAAGTTTCAAAAGAAAATGAAATCTAAATAAATATAATTCCTTTTGTAATAAACCATGCTTTGCAAGTTATGACAGTTCCCTGAATGAATGACAGTTCCCTGACATATAATTTTAAGAATTCTGATTTGATTATGTTTTGAAACCCTTTCTTTTTTAAAAAGGAAACAACTCATTTACCTGTAATGGGCCATTGGTTTTACATAAATGAATTTTCAAAATGATTGATATGTGACATTTAAATGTCTGACTTTTTTTAAATTTAGTAATTTCTGATGGGAATTTCTCGAATAATTTACACACTTCCTGCTGTCGTAATCCATGAGCACTGATTTGAAGCTTTATCATATGATGCAGGTTCATTATGACACTTGTAACTACATTATGCTGTAATAACCTGATGTCAGGTGCTACTGGGGTGCTATAGTAACTGCTCCCTCACAGTTTTTAAGTGTTTGTTATTTGGCTGCACTGGGTCTTTGTTGCTATGCAAGGGCTTTCTCTGGTTCTGGCGAGCAGGGGCTACTCTTGGTTGTGCTGCACAGGCTTCCCGTTTTGGTGGCCTCTCTCATTGCGGAGCCCAGCTCTAGACACATAGACTTAAGTAGTTGCGGTTCGAGGGCTCGAGAGCAGGGGATTGTAGTTTGGCACACAGGGTTGGTTGCTCCGCGGCCTGTGGAATCTTCCCAGGCTACAGATCGAACCCATGTCCCCTGCATTGGCAATTAGATTCTCACCCACTGTACTATATTAGCTTTCTAATGTTTTAGTGTACTTATTTATAATCTACCAATTTAACATATCAATCTCTCTGGCTGATGTTTAGTCTTAGAGTTTAAAGGACTTGAGCTTTGTAATAGCAAACAGTTTGTATATATTTATATTATGATGAGTCCAGGCGTAGTCCTAAGCACTATAAATACATTATTATTATTAATCCTTAAAGGATTTCTTTGCAGCTAAAGATGGAGAAGCTCTACACAGTCAGCAAAAACAAGACCAGGAGTTGCCTGTAGCTCAGATCATGAACTCCTTATTGCAAAATTCAGACATAAATTGAAGAAAATAGGGAAAACCACTAGACCATTCAGGTATGACCTGAATCAAATCCCTTATGATTATACAGTGTAAGTGAGAAATAGATTCAAGGGTTTAGTTCTGATAGGCAGACTGCCTGAAGAACTATGGATGGAGGTTTGTGACATTGTACAGGAGGCAGTTATCAAGACCATCCCCAAGATAAAGAAATGCAAAAAGGCAAAATGGTTGTCTAAGTAGGCCTTACAGATAGCTGTCAGAAGAAGAGAAGTGAAAGGCAGAGGAGAAAAGGAAAGATATACCCATCGGAGTGCTGAGTTCCAAAGAATAGCAAGGAGAGATAAAGCCTTCATCAGTGATCAATGCAAAGAAATAGAGGAGAACAATAGAATGGGAAAGACTAGAGATTTCTTCAAGAAAATTAGAGATAACAAGGAAGAAATTCCATTCAAAGATGGACACAATAAAGGACAGAAGCAGTATGGACCTAACAGAAGCAGAAGATAGTAAGAAGAGGTGGCAAGAATACATAGAAGAACTATACAAAAAAGATCTTAATGACCCAGATAACCATGATGGTGTGATCACTCACCTAGAGCCAGACATCCTGGAGTGCGAAGTCAAGTGGGCCTGAGGAAGCAGCATTACGAACAAAACTAGTGGGGGTGATGGAATTCCAACTGATTTATTTCAAATCCTAAAAGATGATGCTGTGAAAGTGCTGCATTCAATATGCCAGCAAACTTGGAAAATTCAGCAGTAGCCACAGGACTGGAAAAGGTCAGTTTTCATTCCAATCCTAAAGAAAGGCAATGCCAAAGAATGTTCAAACTACTGCACAATTGCACTCATCTCACACGCTAGCAAATAATGCTCAAAATGCTCCAAGCAAGGCTTCAACAGTACGTGAACCGAGAACTTCATATGTTCAAGCTGGTTTTAGAAAAGGCAGAGAAACCAGAAATCAAATTGCCAACATCCATTGGATCATTGAAAAAGCAAGAGAGTTCCAGGAAAACATCTACTTCTGCTTTATTGACTACGCCAAAGCCTTTGACTGTGTGGATCACAACAAACTGTGGAAAATTCTGAAAGAGATGGGAGTACCAGACCACCTTACCTGCCTCCTGAGAAATCTGTATGCAGGTCAGGAAGCAACAGTTAGAACCGGACATGGAACAGCAGACTGGTTCCAAATTGGGAAAGGAGAACATCAGGGCTGTATATTGTCAACCTACTCGTTTAACTTATATGCAGAGTACATCATGCGAAATGCTGAACTGGATGAAGCACAAGCTGGAATCAGGATTTCCGGGAGAAATATCAATAACCTCAGATACACAGATGACTACCCTTATGGCAGAAAGTGTAGAGGCATGAAAGATCCTCTTGATGAAAGTGAAGGAGGAGAGTGAAAAAGCTGGCTTGAAACCCAACATTCAGAAAGCTAAGATCATGGCATCCAGTCCCATCGCTTCATGGCAAATGGATAGGGAAACAATGGAAACAGTGACAGACTTTATTTTCCTGTGCTCCAGAATCACTGCAGATGGTGACTGCAGCCATGAACTTAAAAGACACTTGCTCCTTGGAAGAAAAGCTCTGACCACCTAGACAGCATATTAAAAAGTAGAGATACTACTCTGCCAGCAAAGGTCCATCTAGTCAGAGCTCTGGTTTTTCCAGTAGGCATGTATGGATGTGAGAGTTGGGCCATAAAGAAAGCTGAGCACTGAAGAATTGATGCTTTTGAACTGTGGTGTTGGAGAAGAGTCCCTTGGACTGCAAGGAGATCAAACCAGTCAGTCCTAAAGGAGATCAGTCCTAAATATTTGTTGGAAGGACTGATGCTAAAGCTGAAGCTCCAATACTTTGGGCATCTGATGTGAAGAACTGACCCATTGGAAAAGACCCTGATGCTGGGAAATTTTGAAGGCAGGAAAAGAAGGGGATGACAGAGGATGAGATGGTTGGGTGGCAGCATGAACTCCACAGACATGAGTTTGAGCAAGCTCCAGGAGTTTGTGACGGACAGGGAAGCCTGGTGTGCTGCAGTTCATGGGGTGGCAAAGAGTTGGACTTACTGAGGACTGAACTGACCTGAATAATTAAAACTACTTTATCAATGAGGAATTAGCCTCATATTGATGCCAAAAGCTCAGCCTTCGTACACTGGTGCCAAATCATTCTCAGAGAGAGGCTTTTGATTGAATTAGAATTGGGTTGGGCCTCCCTGGTGGCGCAGACAGTAACGCGTCTGCCTGCATTGTGGGAGACCCGGGTTTGATCCCTGTGTCGGGAATATCCTCTGGAGAAGGAAATGGCAACCCACTCCAGTACCCTTGCCTGGAAAATCCCATGGACAGAGGATCCTTGTATGCTACAGTCCATCGGGTTGCAAAGAGTCGGACACGACTGAGCAACTTCACTCACTCTGGCTTCAAAAACTATGTATTCCCACCCAAGGAGGATTTAATGAAGAGTAGGGCTTCCCTGGTGGCTCAGAGGTTAAAGCGCCTGCCTGCAATGCAGGAGACCTGGGTTCAATCCCCGGGTCAGGCAGATTCCCTGGAGAAGGAAATGGCAACCCACTCCACTATTCTTGCCTGGAGAATCCCATGGACAGAGGAGCCGGGTGGCTACAGTCCATGGGGTCACAAAGAGTGGAACAGGACTGAGCGACTTCACTTTCACTTTCACTAGGCAGCTATAGCTCAAGGTTGGGGTTGCTGAAAAGATTAGGACCTGTACTCCTTTAATCTCATCCCGGGTAAGTTTCTTGATGAGCTTATTGGGTTCCCTTTGTCTGGCCTCAGGTGGTCTAAGCTATGGAGAATGCTGACATCTTCCATTTGTTGGGTTTTACATCTATAAAATGACTTCCCTGGTGGCTCAGGCAGCAAAGCATCTGCCTACAATGCGGGTGACCCGGGTTCAATCCCTGGGTTGGGAAGATCTCCTGGAGAAGGAAATGGCAATCCACTCCAGTATTCTTGCCTGGAGAATCCCATGGCCGAAGGAGCCCTCGCAGAGTCGGACACCGTGACTGAGCAACTTCACTTCACTTCAGATCT